CACTAATTTCAGTAAGCAGTGTCCTGCTGGGAGGTCAGGAAATTTACCCCCCAAGAATGTAATTTTGGAAGTAAAAACTGAAAACCTAAAACAGCACTATCATTGGTTAAGTGGAGAATGCCAGATGGAAAGGTATATGAAGAAAAATTGTATGGGCAAAAGGGATCATGTGAGTAAAGATAATATGTCCAGGGGCATGAGGTAGGACCTTAACAGACGCATTTTAAGATGTAAACCAAGACCCGCACGGCATGCAAAAAAACTTCGAACTTAATCAAGAGCAGCAAAAAACCAAGAGTTTCATCTATTGGTTTGAGGAATCTGTGGGACACACAGGCTTTGGGTACTTGTATAAAAAGAAGAAACAAATGATGATTGGAGAATTTGAAAGGAAATCATCATATAGGGCCAGTGCTGCCTAAGAATGAGAAAGGGCCAAATTAGAACTCCAGAGATGAATCCTAAGATGAATCCTAAGAAAAGATGACAAGGGATTAGAAGCTCTTGAAAGATATTGTAGAGTTTGGCCAAAGGACTGGAGAAAAACAAGAACATAGTGAAATATAACCTAGAGGAAACAAGCCTTTCAGTAAGGAACAAATGGACAACAGTGTGTAATATGGTGGAGGAAATCAATAGCATAGTAACTTCAAAAAGCCTTAAATTTTGGGGGCTGGGGATTTAGTTCAGTGGTTCGGAGGCCTGCCTTGCAAGCGCAAGGACCCGAGTTCGATCCCCAGTACCAAAAAAAAACAAAAAAAAGCCTTAAATTTTTAACAGTATGGTGATTTTATGGACATTGTCCCAGTGAAATAGTATCAGGAAGAAGTTAAATTTTGCTGAGGTCTAAAGCATAAGTGACAAGTGAGATTGTTCAAGAAACTTACTTGATGAGAGCGGGAAAGAGAAGAGTAAAAAGCATTTTTGACAGGTACTGAAAATCCAGAAGACAAATGAACACTAAGGGCGATAGATTCCAGATTACATGGAATAATAAGAGATCTACAGCATGCTTGAAGATGTTGAATTTAGGAGAAGGGATATCTCTTGTAAGAGATAATAAAGGTGCCGTTGCACACATTACCATACACAAGCCTGTTTATTGCTCTTCAAAGTGAAGCCTGAAGTATCATGGTTGAGGCGTGATAGAAAAGAGAAACCAGATTAGTGGGATACCCAGAAAGACTAGATATATCTTTTGCTATTGATTCCATTGACTACAGAATGCCTGTTCTGGGTAACTAAACAATTCAGGTGAAAAAAAAAACCAACCAATTTTAACAAGATGTTAATAGTAAAGGCAATTTAGTGTTCTGAAGTCCAGCTAGGAATATGGAATATGATCGGGAAAGTAAAATAGAAGTTAATGAAAGCTAGTGCTTTACTTGGCTAGCCCTGTGAGATAGAAAACTAAGTCTATCTGGTCAGCTATCATCAGATGCCAGCACATTGCCAGACATACGTTACAGGCTCTGAGATACTTTTAGATGTGGAAACATCGGCATCTAAAGATTCTGCAAAATGAAGCTGAAAGGAAACACTCGGAATTGAGATGTGTTAAGTACACATCCAGCTCCCTACCTGGAACGTGAACATTATATATTACAAACATTTTTTTTAAAAAGACCAAGAGGTGAGGAAAGGGTGGAAGGAGGGAAGGAAAAAGGGGTGTAAATAAAGAATTAAGAATTAATATGTGTTGTGTATTTGTACCAACGCTCCACAAGGAGTGTAAGCATTATGTACTACAAACAAGTACTTCTGAAAAAAAAAATTTGGAGTTCAAACCCAGTGTCTTAAAGAACTGAAGAGAGGAATTCTGAGACAGAGGAAATACCTTATATGATGACATTCAACAAAGAAATCAAGAAAAATAGAGAACAAATGTTTTTGAATAAAACAATTTTAGGCTTTCTTAGTAAGTACAATTTCAATTTGGCAAAATCAGATTGTAGTAAATCAAGGGGGAATGGAAGGTGAGGGAATAGGGAATTAAATTACTTCTGCCATAAAAGATGAAATTTTGGGAAGGTGTAGAATTTGTCCCTGAAATCTTACAACTCATGCAGTGTATTGTAACGGGAAATACAAACTTGTAAAGGCAAATGTTGTAGAGTTCAGAAGATATTTAGCAAATATACAAATGTGCATACATGGAGAACAAGAAGAATTACCCCTTTTCAGAGTACAATAGAAACTAAAATCAGCTAAAGACAAAAAGGAAAACTTTGCACCATTAATAACAAAGAATTTGTGAATGGTCAGTTTAAAAAGTGAAGGAAAATACCTGTATGTAGTAGTTAATTGGAGAGAATGAAAAAGATTGTTCCCAATGTATAACCCAAAATAAATGATAGCATAGACTACTTTACTAGCAGGAAAGACATACAGTAAAGCTAGAATTAGATAATATTAGTGTTAATTTATTAACATCTTTAAAATTTTTAACATATCAGCATTAAACCACAACTCTAACAAATGAACAGCCTAATTCAGGTTGTGGTCGATTAGGAACCTTTTACAAACTATTTGTGAATACACATTGTACCAAATTTCTTAAAATGTAAAACTTCTAGATATAGTATCTTCAATTACATATTTAAAATGGATTAAGATGATCACTAATTTATTGTGTTAAAAAGTATTAATCACCACAATTATGTTTAAGATGAAATTTCTATTAAATATAATGCATTTTTTTAACATGAACTGAAAAGATATAAAGAATACATGTAGTTATAATGCGAACTCAAAACAAAACAAGTTTATGAAAAAGAACTATAAAAGCATTCCTTAAAATGTTTTTGAGTGGCTGTATTTGAATAGTGGAATCTTTGCAGATTTCGTTTCCTTTGAATTTTTAATTTCTGAATTGCTTATAATGGGAATGTACTGTATGATTAATACAATTTTAATAGTTCATTTAAATAGTCCAGGTTACTTACAAAGATGCTAAAAGAAGGACTTTAGCATTTTTCAAAGATAATCTTACTTTCGACTTCTCAGCAATGAGTTTGACCTTGAAATGGTTTGTCTGGGACAGAATCATTTCCTTCAAGCATTCACACCGTATATTTTTAATTACATCTACCTTCACTCTGTGCTTGTTCTGTTTCTTACACTGAGATCTTGTCAATATACTAATCTGTGATTTAGGGAGAAAACTGTTATTGAGAGCTGGACCCGTGCCATGAAATCTCTTCTTTTCACTCACAAATTGTTTAGAACCTTGGCTGAGTTCTGATGTAAAACTACTTAGGTTTTAGGAAGTGTTGTAGAGTCGAAGAAAGCGTTCCAAAATGAGTGCTTTAAAAGTGACTCTTGTAAGTGTGTATCACTGTTTTAAAAAAACAGAAAGCCAAGAGTCATTTTTATTTTAACTGACGGTACACTTGTTAGGGATGGATTTTCTACATGGTAGCCTCAGTGGATCATCAGAGTCAGAGTCTTGCTATTTTCTGTTGAGTTCAACATATATTCTGGTCAACTAAAAAATGTGGAAGAAGTGAATCTAGGACTCTGCAGAGGAGGGACTTGATCCTGTGCGATAACTGAATGTGGCAACTCCAAATCTTCCCTTCCAGCATGTAGCAGTTTTTATATACTTATGAGGCCATTTGTCAGAACCATGCTGATCATGGATTTAGTGGTCAGATCAGATATGTAAAGCAATTGTTTCTCTGTCTTTTAATTGTTCCTCTGTATCAACTATAGAAGAGCTGGCGAAAGCTCAGCATGCAAGGATTGTGGCCACTTTTGAAACAAGGTGGTATAAAAATGAAGTGGAATTTAGAGTTTAGAAAAACACAGTGTTTTAGCTTTTCTGAGAATTGACTTCAACATCTCTGAATTGAAAACTAGCCATTTTATTAATTATGGGAAAAGATTGTTTTAGGTGTATTATTCTCAACATGTTCACAATGGCATGTTTAACTTGGTGTATACGTAGAAGTGCATCTGTGCACATTCACTATGCATTCAAAATATGCTTTATAACATGCTTCATTTTCCTCAAATAATTGGAAAACATGCTGACTTCCTGAAAACATCTATAATGAGATAATGTTCCGAACAAAGAGGCTAATATTTAAAAATCAGGTTTTGAACCATTTTTATGAGTTTAACTACCATGAGTTACTTTTCAAGAGGTATTTCCCTATGATGTACAATTAAGCAGGCCTACAGAGTTAACAGATCTCCATGGTCATGGAGCCAAGAAAGAAGGCTCTAAAGCATATGGTCCTCAGTGGGACTCTGAAATGAGTGGCATTAATTATAGCACCAATATCTATCTGCTGGAGATTTCTTTTATAATCATATAGGTGCGTGTATAAAAATTTTTCTTATTTGAATTTAAGGCTTGAATTTTTCTTTTCCATTTTCAAAAATAGTTTAGTAATTTTTGTATTTGTTAACCTTTTATTCTTACCTGTTATAACTTCTCATATTCATCTTTATTTTTATGCTTTCCCTAGCCTTGAAATATAGATTTCTTTGAAACCTGATAAACTATATTGCTAGCTTAAAATGTTACGTTGGCTTAGGCAAACCAAGCTCAATTTTATATACAGTGAAAATCCTGTTTCAAATATTCTCAATATAATCTATAATTCCTACATATGGATAAGGTTGATGTAAGAACAATTAGATTTGAAAAGAAGACTAAAAGGACTTGACAGCAAACAAATATTCTTTTTATATTAGAATTTAATTGTCGAATAAATGCAACCTACTTTTGAATTAAAAATTAAAGCACAAATCTTTAAGACGGTGTTTTCATAAAACATTTCCTTCATTTTTTTTAAGATAGATGGGTTTGAAACTCAAGCAGGAAAAATATTTCATTTTTAAGTGAGTGAAACTTTTTCTTACAGATGATTTAGTCACCGTGAATTGGTCAGTAATTTCTTCATCCTTGTGATGAAATTGTTACCCTTAACTGAACTGGGAGGCCAGAATTTATTTCCTTCAATAACAAACTTTCCATATGTCTTCCTCAGGTAAGGAAGAAGACTTAATCTACAAAGACACCTCTGCCAATGAGAAATTGGAACGGAGTAAAGCTTATACATACCAGTGGCTTCACACACAGGTTGAGGTTCATAAAACAACTAGTTCCAGAAATATGACAAGGTGAGGTCATTTCCTTTAAATTAGATTTTTGTATTGTAAACACATCTTGAAAAGTGAAACCTAGGTTAATTGTGCTAACACAAACATGACTTTATAGCCAAGGGCCAATGCACCATGATACTAGGTTATAAACAGGCCTTTCATATAAAATAGATTTAATCGCTGCTTATATATTTTGCCATAAAATAATTAGAAAGAACTCGATTCTGTAATGCTTAACACCAATAGTTAACCCACACAAATTATTCTACATTAGAGCATGAAACATGAAAGTACGGTATACAAATGTTTCTAAATGCTATATATTGTTGATTATATTTTATTTGTGTTATCATTTATAAACGTGGCAGTTAAAACTATAATTTTGCTCTTCATAATAACATATATGAATTGAACTTCCATATATGATGATATACATCCATTCAGTTCTTTTCAAAATATAGAATTTATATAAAACCATAAATCAAAATAAAATTAAGACATTTTATAATTTAAATTGTGTCATGTTTTTTGTGAACATAAGGAAGAATAAAGCCCTGAATATTTGAGCAATTTTATTTTCAGGTCTTTAATGGAAATGTTTTATATTGGTACCAATCAATTTAACTTAATTCTTAGACTAGCATCCTTGTAAATGTAAATAAATGGAACAGAATCCATCACTTAACATTCATATTAGCCAAATATAAGAGCATTAGTATAACTACAGTATACAGAAAATTAGAAGCAAGATATTTCAAGGTAAATTTTAGATATGCTTCAATTTTTAGCAATATCACTAATAAATGATCTGTATTTAAGTATATGAAACGTTAAGCATTTAGTCATTTGATTTTTGTTTTGAAATATAACTTCTAAAAACAATTATAAGAAAAATTGTGCAAGTACTTCTGTCAATGTTACTTCATTAGAAGCATGAGTCTAATGCATTAGATATACTAGAATATACTTTTTATATCCTTTTTTTTCATTACTGGGGATAGAATGTGGGCTCTTGTGCTTGTGAGGCAGGTGGCAAAACCACTGAGCTAAATCCCCAGCCCATAAATATCCCAGAATGGTTATAAAGGTAGGAAGCTTTGCCTTTGTCAAAAGACAACTGAAGTTTAGTAAATAAATAAATGTATACAAAACATTTACATTTTTATAACATCGACTATTACTATTCATATTTTCAAATTCTTGTCATTTGATATGTTTTTATTTGGCAAAGAAGGGCAGTACTAACGTCATGCAGAAATTGGAATTTCAAAGTACAGAAAAATGCAAATTGGTATTTATCTTTGCATAGACTTAATTTAACAAGACTATTATTTCCTTTTTATAAATGATGATATTGCCCAGATTTTTCACTTGGGAATTTTTTTCATATCTTCCAATACATTTATATTATAATATATTTCTGTCTTTGTCACTATGCAGGAATCACTTCTTGCCTGACTTAGATCCAGATGTACTTAATGGTAGAAGAGTTCAACTTGTGGTAAGAAATGTGTTCAAAGTTATAGAAAAAATGTTACAGACACCAGTGCTCAACAAATGATACTTTAAATATGCTCATAATTAATTTAAACTATGAAAATACCTCAACTATATCTACTTGGGAGAGACTTAAAAACACCATGTTAAAATTATAACAGGTTTTCTTGATTTATAAATTTATAATATGACATTGCTTCAAAATATTAATTTTATTTGACACGTAAAAATAGCATTGTACCGTTTTGAAATTAATCTGGATGGAAGTTGCTTAATGAATTTATTGAAAATGTTGAAAAAGTAGAATTTACAGACTCGAGGAAAATAGTAAGGCATCCTCACACAGAAAATCATATAAGAAATTGTGAGTTTAATGACTCTAAGTATTCTAGATTCAATTAACACTCCAAAGGGAAATAACTGGACTCAATTCTAAACCTTAGACAATAAAACTGTATATGCATTGCTGCATTTGGTGGTATCAATTGCTATTAGAAGGAGGACTATATAAGCCAAGACAATAGCCAATATATGAACCAGAAAAAAATAAATCCCACAAAATGAGAAACTTGTTCCTCTGAGCAGTGACAAGTGTGTAGACTCTTTGGCAAGTAAAAATGGATGACTCAGGTGACTCTGATTTTATAACATCTTCTATATATACCAAACAACTAGTAACCCTTTGCTCAGCCTCTACATTTACTAAGGAAATTTATTAGTATTTAGTTTTCCATTTAAAATTTCAAACAAAGATAGTGTAATTTTTGCAGAAATGCATAATATGTTGTCTAGTGCAGTTATATAATTTCTATGAACAATTTGTTCAACAAGTTTTCCAGAAGGAGGAACAAAATAGCGTAAAAGCTAGCTAAAATTTACATATTTATAAAAACATAGAATATGTACAGATTCCAAATAAGATTTCATCAAATATCTTCTTGCAATTTAACACAGATCCCTCTGGGAGAGTATCATGCAGATTTCCCAAGGAGATATGGTATTTCCGGCTATTAGCACCATACATGTTATTGACAACACTAAAGCACAGATTGGTCAGTGCTCCATTTAGAGCAACAATGGAGAAAAAAATGTACCAAGGAATGCCATGATAAAAGAAATATTTAATTATTACACATCTGAACATGTATTAGATTATTGTTGAAAATGGTTCTACAAGATTAATCCTGTGCCACTAATCCTTTTTTTATACCCCTCTATATTCCACTGTATACAGATATGTAACAATAATAAATGCTCTTTTTTGGTATTGAAAAGGTATGCATAAGTGAACACAAAAGCGAGGCAAATTGGAGTGGAGCAGAAATACACGGGTGTTTTTATCCTGCAGGTAGTCAGGTGAAGAGATTGGTGACTTAGGTCAAGAGGACACTGGGCTGACTGAAGGCCTTGAATGGTGTGCTGCAGAGGACTAGGGAGTCACCTGTGCCAGGGGATGAGAGACCGATGAGTTCCCAATTGGGACCATGCCACAACTAAGAGAAAAATCAGAACAAGTGGCTGCAACTGTTGCTTCAATATAGGAACCTTGACAGTATATAAATTACACCTAAAAGAAAAGGAAAAGAAAATTATGAAACGAAAGTGACCAAATGTTCTAAAGATTTAGAGAGATATACAAATTCATCACCTATTCTAGAAATTTTTTTTAAAAATCATTTAAATGTAGGCCTAGACTTGATACAATAAGAGAATATTAGTGAATTCTAAGATTACCTACAAAGGAACAGCCATTGTGTTGGCAGTGGACTTCATATAAAAAATACAGCAGATTATTTCTTAATAGGGATGAGTATAAATATCGGTAAAAAAGTTCTTCCCTAAATTTTGACAATGAGGACAGAATAAACCATAATCAAGTATTTAAAACCTCAATTTTGAAGAAGCTAGAAAAATACATCTCTTTCTTCTTAGCAAGAGCCAAGTATCCAACAGGACAGGCAGGAATAAGAAAAAAGAAAACCCCCCAAAATTATTTTTATCACATTAAAAATCAGGAAGCATGCCAAAAGTAAAACAGTTGTTTTGTTAATTAAATTACATGTATTCAGAAAAACTCGAGGATTTTCCAGAAGAGATTCATATTCAGGTTCTCCAAGAAATATACTCTGAGATCTTGAAACTCAAGGGCAGAAAATTTATGGAGGGAAGCTTTCAGGAACAGTTTCTGCAGGAAATGAAAGATACTTGGTTGTGGTAGCAAATAACTGTAATTCCAGTACTCTAGGAGGCTGAAGTGGGAGGATCACAAATTGTAGACCACTCTGGGTTTCACTTACTGAAACCTTGTATTAAAATTAAAAAAAAAATTAAAAGTCTGAGGATGTAGCTCCGTGTGAAGGCCCAGGCTTCAATCCCTGGTAGAGGAGGGGAAAAGCAGGATTTAACAGCAAGAGAAAGTGACTCTCAGTGTAGCTATAGCAAAGGAAGTAAGCTCTGTGGTTGACATAGCTTGGGGTGAGAGAACCAGGCTTCTCTGCTCCTGGCCTTTGGACAAGACAGTTCTCTTAGCTAACACAATTTCCATACCGTGGTTCAACTGAGACACAGCAGGCATAAACTTTCTTAACAAATGCAAGTTTTTTACTCAATCGTTAAATTTGACCTGGGCAGGGTATGGTAGCATTAAATTGCCCATTCATGAATACAGCAACCCACTATATAAAATATATCAATGGAGACAGACATGGTGGGATGTGTCTGCAATCCCAGATCTCTGAGAGGCCCTGCTGGAGGATCACAAGTTGAAGCCTAGCCTTGCCAAATTACTTAATGAGAGCCTATCTCAAAATATTTTTTAAAAAGTAAATGGCTGGACATATAGCTCAGTATGATGGCCTTGGATTCAATCCCCAGTACCACAAAATAGAAACGTTCCCAAATGTATAAATTAAAAGTAATCCTAACCGATATCACAGCTGATTTGGGGGGAGAACCTGAAAAATCTCTCAGAAGTGGGCTTTGACACATAAAAACCTGAGGAAAAATGTGTGTGTGTGTGTGTGTGTGTGTGTGTGTGTGTGTGTGTGTAAGGAAAAAGAAGAGCAACTTTTATACAAAGGCTTAGTACAAAGCTAAAGCGAATTTTATTGTACTGTCACAGGCTTTCATGAAGAAAGTTCCTAATGAGGTCAGGAGCAGACCTATGACTGTATTAGAATGCATTCTGTAATAAGGTGGTAAAAGCTCCTCTACAATAGTGGAGAGAATTTAGATGGGTTTAGAAGCATTGGAAAAAACAAACAAACAAACAAAAAAAAACAGATAAGACAAAAATGAAGGAGGCTGGGAATTTGGCTCAGTGGTTCCGCCGGCTGCTTTGCAAGCACAAGGTCCAGACTTCGATCCCTGGTACCAAACAAAAGAGAAAGATGCAAGGGAAAAAATGAGAACCAAGACCTTTCATGTAAAGGTACAAGATCCCAATAATGAATGTAACTGTACTATATGCCTAAAATGTACCAATAAACTCAATTAAAAAAAAGAAAAAAGAAGGATGTCTTTGCAACTTAGCAGTAAATAAAATCCTTTTAAATGATATACTACATCAAATAATATGGCAAAAATCAGTTGAATTGATGTCAAATCAAAGATTCCTTTCCACAGAGGTTTTTATAGAAAAGGTTAATATACATATAACAGACATGAACAAACTATTTTCAGTGCCTGAAATTAACTAGAGTTTAATAACTAAATATAAAATTACCTCTTGCAAATAATTGATTTCAAGTCAAGTAAACCAACAAGTACATTAGAAAAGGAATATAAATGGGCTGTTCACAGAAATGATTCCCAAACGGATAAACATGTATGAAAGATGCTTAGTTTCCAGACGAGAGAGTGTAAATAAGAACAAGAAGTCTCAATACTTTACTCATCTGAATGGTACGCATTAGAAAACAGCAATGCAAAGTGCTCTCAACAACATGGAAATATTTATTCGCAATTGCTGAAGATGGGGGCTATTCTAGTTACTCTGAAAAGATGCTGAACATCATTAGCAATTAGAGAATAACTGATATGAGAATAAATAGTGGTACATGCCTACAATGGATGTTAAACAAACAGGAATAGAAAATACTAAGTACAAAGACTTCCATGGACCTTAAGAATATTATGCTGAGAAAAAGTAGTGAATCTCAAAATGTTCTATGCTATATGATTCCATTCACCTCACACAGTCTCAAAATCACAGTTATAGTGACAGAGAACATCAGTGGTGACCATGGATATGTGCAGAGCTAGTATAGCTATAAAGGGTATTAAGGAATTTCTTTAGAAATATGAAACCATTGATTCTATGAAACTCTACCTTGATTCTAGTGGTATTTTTACGAGTCATACATATAATAAAAATCTCATAAAACTATAAATGCAAAATTTTAGTCAATGTAAAAACAGGTGAAATCCTAAGAAAGTTTTTAGTTTAGTAATAATATTATCCCCAGTATTAATGTCCTAATTTTGCTAATCATACTTTCCTCATGTAAAATTTTGTTGTAGGGGCAAGCTGAGTATATTCAGTATTGTAACAGTATTGGTTTAAAAAGTTTGGTAACTTTTTTCAGTTTTCTTACTAGTATGTGTTTTTTAGTAAGTAATGATTACATTCCTCCTGGGGAACTGATACATGTACACAAAACACCTTAATTTATTTTTTTGTAATTTCCATGGGAAAGTTAAGTTCTAAAATTTCAAAATAAAAAGTTTGACAGTAATTGAACTTCATGTTTAAGATCTGTGCATTTCACTGCATGTAAATTTTATCTGTATATCTTTAAAAAAATAATTATCTTTCTACTCATATATTTTGTAGAATGAGGCCTCTGCCTTATTCTGAATAAGAAAAGAAATTTGTGCAATGCTGATGGTGTATTACGAATGGAAGGATATGCATAACTTATCTCTGCAAATTCAGTTAAAAGAGTTTTAAATCACTCATCTGTCTAGAAATAGTACAAATGATTATGTGGTATATTTATAGAATATAATGACTTTGTTATAATTTGCAAATTATTGAAACAGTTAAGAGAAATTAGATCTCACAGTTGGAAGGTACCATGAAAAAAGCAAGTTGCAGAAAGAAAGATACCATTTGTCTTAATTTTACAAATAATAGTTATCAGTTAAGTGCAGTGACGCATTACTTTCTTGATTTTTTTTATCAGTACATACTTGCAGTTTATAATGAGTATATTTATCTTGGGTCATTTGTACTTGTGCGTAACACATCTTATTTCTTTTTTATTCCCTTCCATTTCCATCCCTCCATGCTCCCTCTTAACTCTTAGTCCCATTCCCATTTGCCAAATCTCTTATTTCCATTTTTTTCTTAAATTTTCTCTTCTTTAAATCCCATTTTTGCCTCCCCCCATCTCTTATTTCCCTTCCCATTTGGAAAAGATCTCCCTACTTCCTTCTGTCTATCTTTTATTTTGCTATTTGTTTATACTTTCTTTGTGTCATATAAAGAAACCATTCAATATTTCAATGTTTGTGTTGGATTTCACTTAACCTTATGGTCTCAATTCTGTGAAATATCATTGATTAACTGTATGGATATCTTAGAATACATTTCCAAAAACTTACATGGCATCTCTGTCCTGATCTATTAATGATATATATGCAAGACATGGATAAAAAGTGATATATAAATCTGATGATAGCATAACATGACACTGTTCTACAGTGAGCTTTTGTAAGTAGAGGTAGTACACACTGAATAACAAATGTGCAGCAGAGCAAATATATAAGCCACCAAATTATCAGACTTTTATGGTTTTCAAGTACATGTACTGTCTATAATTTTATGTTACAATTGTATACAACTGACTGTTGAGTACATTTGTTCAGATCGACATCACCACTAATATAGAAGTAAATGCGATGTGCTACGAAGTTACCATAGCAATGACCTCACTATGCAGTAAAGACATTTCAGCTCCATTGTAATCTTATGGGATCACTCTTATATTTAATCTGCTGTTGAATGAGACACTGTTTTGATGAGTAGGAATATACTCCAAAAATTTAGTACATGTGTGTAGAAAATTGCAAGGTAACTTATGCCTTCATCTTTATAACACTTGATTTCTCTTTTTAAAAAAACAGATCTTGGTAACAATACATTCATATTTATGTGTTTTTCGTTGTTGTTGTTTTTTGTTTGTTTGTTTGTTTGTACCAGGGATCAAACTCAGGATCTTGTGTTTGCAGGGCAGGCACTGTGCCGCTGAGCTAAATCCCTGGCCCTTCATACTTGTTTCTAAACAGTGCTCTTTAACATATGTTTACTTCTAAAAGTACAAAATAATAAAATAATAATTCATTAAAATTGTATGAAAATGGGGCCAGGGATTTAGCTCTGTGGTGCCACCACCTGCCTTGCAAGCACAAGTTCCTGAGTTCAATCCCCTGTACTAAGAAAAAAAAAAAAATAGCAAACAAAACTGTATGAAAAGAACAGAAGGAAAAACTGCTTGTTTTTTATTAATAGAGATAATCTTTATTATTATTATTATTTTAGACAGAAGGTCACTTGTTGTTTTGTGCTGGCCTTGAACTCACTATGTAGTCCAGGCTGTCTCGAACTCTCAGCAATCCTCCTGTCTCAGCCTCCTGAGTCCTGGGATTGCAGTCATCTGCCACCATTCTCAGTTTGAGCAATAATCTTTATGTTTAGTTAAATTTCCAGTCTAACAGATGAATCAGAATCCAAATACTTAAAAAGTCCTTTTCCAAATGTCATGCTCCTTATTTTATTCAGAAATACAAGGGATCCGTCACACTCATGACTTCTCTATTTGTTGATTCAACCAAACATGAATGTATATTATCAAAAAAATTGTCTGTGCTGAAGATATGCAAACCTTTTTCTTGTTGTCATTCCTTTCATAACTCAGTATAATAACTACTGAAATCCCCTAAGTGTGATTAAAAACTATGGGGAGTGCTTAATTTCAAAACCGATTATAGTAAAAGACATATTTTCATAAACCCTCCTCAAAATACTCCCCTCACTTGAACAAACTTATACTGTCATTCTTGAGAGTCTCTAAACCAGCTCTGGAAGTCCTCTTTTGCCTCTGCAGTTGTAACCTTAGAGCTGAATTGATTCCAAAGCTTCACCTTTTGTGGTCATTTTTGGTGGAAGGAAGGGCAGAAATCTCAAGGTGCCAGCTCCTGTGACTTGGGTGCGGGAGGACACACCCTAATGTTTTGGTTGGATGGCACTCGGCAGCAGCAATCATCGTATTTTTTATCACAGCAAACTTCCAGGAAGTGGCAGCAATGATGAGATAATTGTGTTCACCGTGAGGGGGAGCATTTTGAGAAGAATTAGTGGCAGTGTATCTTTTATTGTAATATATGTTTTTACCTACGTATGCAGTGCACATTTTGCACACCTCTGGCAGCATTTACATTGTGTTGGGTATTGCAAGTAATCTAGAGATGATTTAAAGAAGGAGGTGTGTAGGTTATAGGCAAGGACTATGCTTTTTTATATGAGAGTACTGAGGGGTATCTGTATGTTCGCTTTGCATGATATAGAAGAAAGACTGTATTTTCTTTACAATTTTTATGTTTACAATAAAAGGAAGAATGATATTAGATTGAAAGACAATATTTTCAGAAATAGAAACTAAATATCACTGTCTCTGGGATGTACGAGATGCACTAACAGGAGTTATAACTGGTTTATGACACTTCTAAATTTCCTGTGAGGCTGGTAGATGGCAGCACGGTAAAATCATGTCTTCCTAGCACATTTTAAATTTAATTTGATTCCCTGTGTAATTACAAACCATACCACTTTTTTTTGTTTGTTCGTTTGAGTGGGGGTCTCACTGTGCAGCCTCGGCTGGCTTAGAGCTCGGTCCTGTCTCAGCCTCCCAAGTGCTGGGATTACAGGCATGAACCACAGCACCTGCTTGTACCAATTGTTTGTTATTTAGAAGAAATAGTCCAGGTACTAAGTTTTTAGTGACTTAGATGATTTTGAAATTTAGGGAAGGTTCTTGTTCGCAAAAATTGTCTTGACATATACAGATCATTTTATTTCAGGGCAGGTGGGATTTCTACTTTTTAAATAGATGTCATAAAAATAAATACAAAAATAAATAAAGTAAAATTTTGTCATCAAATCAAAATAAATAATTTCATTTTAAAACATTGAGACGTAATAGCTAAACTCTTTTTGGTGAGCATAGGTGGCCCTATATGAAAACATGATTGACGTGTTTTCATGTTTACTTACTTAATGTCACCTAGATAGCATTGCTTTGGCATTTTCCCTGATGCCTAACAGGTTATTTCTAAGTGTTAGCATTGATGGAGCCATCCTAACCAGAATTCTGGACTTGTATTCCTGTATATCGATTGAAATAAATTCCAGGAAAAAATGTCATGTTCTTCGTACAATTCACAGACATAAATTGGCCAGTTGTTATTGATTTTATTTTAAACAATTTTCTACTGAGGTTTTTAAGCAGTGCAATTATATCACTTTGCCAGTTTCATAAAAGGATACCTGACGTTATAGAGTGGTTTCTATTTTAAATTCAACAATAGTAACATTAAAGTACTTAAAAACCCTAAGTATGTGAAGTAATACACATAATAATTCACTCAATCTTTCCATTCTGCTGTGTAAACAAATTTCAAAGCATCGCATTGTGTAGGACAAATACATAGAATTTTGTCCAATGGTAAAGAAATTGGGAAGATAAGAATTCACTCATCCATTCACTCGTTCATGTATATGTGTAGCTCTTTCAGTCTTTGTAACTCATCATGTGGAGATAGCTTTCCAACCACAGTGGTGTTCTTATGTCTTTATTTTACTGAACTTAAATTTCCCTCACATATAACATTATAGACAATGCTTTTTCACATGATTACAAGCATGCTGTGGTTTGGGTTAAATTCCAGCACTTGGAAGCTGTTTTTTTCTTCATCTCATGGCATTTCCCTCCACTTCAGAGCTGAACTATGATAAATCTTTACTTCACGCACTAGATATTATGTAAAACAAGATCCTCTAAGTAAGAAACAATTCTTTTGACTCAGGTTTAGTCTAAAATCGTAATAAAAGCACAAAGGCAATCTTGGAAGAGTCATTTCTTTATGTCCTTGAAATAATATGTCATAAATTTTTTATATAATTACATTTATCACAAAGTCAAACTTAGTATGTAATATTTTATATTGATAACAATTTCAATAAAGACTAGATATCATATGACTTTGTGGCACATAAAGATGGGGTTAAAGGCATTTCAGTGAGTTTTGTTAATAAGATTAATGCTTATAAGTGGTAAAAACATAAATATTGCAGAAAATAATGTAATATGGCATTTCTAGCATTCAATTAAGAATTAAATAATACACTTGGTAAGTGATGCTAAGCTGTTTAAAATTTTACCAGCTGCTTTTAAGATTGATTTTCATCAAAATTACTGTACTAAAATGTTTTCTTTTGTTGTACAGACTCAAATAGCAAACCTCAATTTTAAAATCGGCCCTTATTTGCAAAAAATGCTTTGACATAGTGCATTTGTTCTGCCTGGGCAGCAATAAAGGATTGTGGTATCATTCTGAAAAAGGTTGTTTGACAGAGTCTGCTTGTTTATTTGGGGTAATGTGAGCTGCATTCAGAAAATGCCATATTTTGTTTCATGATTGTATACATTCTCTCCCATTGCTCCCAGGCAAGACATGTAAGCAGAGAAGACACGGATTTAGACCTTTTTTCCATGACCAGTGGAAGTGCTTTGTCTGTGAACAGAGAGAAAAAAAGTCAGGCATACAGCAGACACTCAGCAGGATCTTCAAGTAAGTTGTGGTTTCCTTCAGAATTAATTTAGAGATCACAAATGAACTGATGGACCCTAATGCCAAGAAGCTTTCTTTTACAGAGAGAGGGTAGGATGCCAGCAGCCAGAGGGGCCCCAAAATGGACATTTACATTTTCCTCTCTCTTTAAATGTCTTCTTTGGTATAAACAAAATTAAATAATTTCTAAAATTAACAGCATCGGTTTTTATTTAATTATATTCGATGGTTTAGTGTCCCTCCCTCCTTCCTCTACCCTGTGGATCATAGTAAATTCTTTGACCCCTTATTTCTGAAAGAAATTTTAGGATAATTTCAAAATGTTGAATTCATGTATTAAAGTAATATGTTTTGGACTTTTGTCAGTAATAGATATTGCATGTAAAAGTAATTTTTAAAGGAAATTTATTCATATGTAACAGATAGTACAATTTAAAAAAAACGTGGTAATAGAATTATTTCCATTGTATAAGCGACAGTTATGCTTAGTAATGATGATTTTATATTCATAAATCTACAACATACACCTATAATTTTCAATTTATAGAGAATATGTATAAGTTTCAACAAAGTGTTTTCAACATTTCATTGCAATTTTGAAGTTTGAAAGAATATAAACTTTTAAAAACTATCCGCAGCGTGTGGCATTTCAGGGGATTAGAACCAATTTTTTTGAAGTCTTCATTTAATTAATATACTACAGATTCCAAAATATCTCCTAGAATGTTATAGGACATTAGTATAATAAATTTTTGATAATTTTTATTGATTTTCACAAAGTACATTGAAATCCAAAAGTCATCACATAATTTTTACTTCATGGTAATTATTCAGTTATTCTTGAAAAAGTTGTATTACTCACTGATGTTGCAGTCATAGTTTTACAAAGTCAGGATTTAGTTATTTAGTGATCCAAATAGAGCCCTATTTAGGGGCTATTTCATTTCCAGATAAATCAAAATGTCAAAATTACTCTCAGATTTACATTTCATCCAAGTATTCAGTTGTTATTAGACTAGAATCATTTAAATCCATTAATATATACAAGTTCAGTGTGATGAATTTTAATTGGCTTTCTTGACATAATAATTTTAATATGTCTAATTTTAAAGTATTTCCCATATCTTAAAGGATGAAGAGCTTCAATTGTCCTTACCTGATGATAAAATCTGGTCATTGCTCAATATGCAAATAACTATTTTAGATTTATTCACTTAAATTATTGATGCAACATAAATTTCTGTGCTATTACTAATTAATCAATTTTCCACATTTCACAGTTTATGTCACATATACAAATGAATGATGCTATCCATTTTATGAATTGTGTATTATAAACTCATATATGTGAGTTTGCAGGATTGTAGGTATTGTTTATTTTTACATAACAAAAACAAAAATTACCTTATTACTGTACAGAGTATCAAAGTGGGTTCATAATCTATGACCTAGGTGTTAAAGCATAACTAGTTCAATAAGCAGCAACTATCCTGAAATATATACACTTCTTCTTTCACTTGTACTACACTGAGTCACAGATCTTAGAGAATATAAGATCAATAGAACTCATCTCTTAGCATACTAAGAAACTGAAGTAATGATATTCTCACAGTACTTAGTTGTAATTAATTGTCATCTTTGAAAGTTTCAAATATCACAAGTTTCTATGTATACTAAGTGGCCACTTAAGCGGATTAAAAAAATAGTTTTATTAAAAAAGAATTATTATGAATAAAATGCTACTTAATTATGATAATTACTAACCTATTACTATGACATCAGCACAATAGAATACCGAGTATGAGCTCTGCCATCCATCTTAACATACTTCTTAAAATGGGAATAACAGTAGAAATACCTGCCTTGGAGAGTTCTTAAAGTGAAATGTAGAACATTTAGAATAATAGCTGGAACAAGAAAAGTAATAAGGGCCAGGGATTTAGCTCAGTGGTTCCGCCACCTGCCTCGCAAGCGAGAGACCCGAGTTCAATCCCCGGTACCAAAAAGTAATAAAGGTTCTTTGTATTTATCACTACACATAGCTATAAAAAAGGAGTCAACTGGCTTTAAGACATGACATTCCCTGGGAACGTAGCTCAGTGGCGCTGCGCCTGCCTGACAAGCGCAAGGTCCTGAGTTTGACCCTCGGTACCAAAAAAGAAAAGAAAAAGAAAAAAAAAAAAAAAAAAAAAAAAAAAAAAACCCGATATCTTTAGTATGTAGACACTTTGTGTAACTGGTTCTGTTTATAAGAAACCTACTTATATATTTTGCTTAACCAAAATACTTGGCTTACACTATTATTCTATAGAAATCTTTTAACCTTTAAAGATTTTGAATCTTAGACCTCCCTGGCCCTGGGCCAACTACTTATAGCTTTGGTATTTTGAAAGCTCTTTTTTCTCCTTCAGATTTCTCTCTCTCAAAACTTGCCACCTTGTTAAACTTAAATATTCCTTTTTGCTTTGCTTTGCAAGCCAACTCTCAAGAGTAGTTTATGGGCTGCGGCTGTAAAACTCTCTTTGAGCCTTTGAACTTTTCTAGATATTTCTCTTTCCATGTTGTTACAGTATTTTATCATGTATACTTTAGAATCAGATAAACTTGGGCTTAAAACCTCAGCTGCATCATCATATTTAAGTCATATTTTCACCTGATGGGGTCTGAAGAGTACCCCAGAGAGGAGATGGGGAAATCAACTTGCTCCATGGAGTGGGTTCTTGACTGACTTCAAGAGAAAATGAATTTTAGGGCACTTCAGTGAGATGCATAGGAAAATTTATTGTAATTAGAAAGTAAAAGAAAATATGGAAAGGATTTTACCTTAAGGAGCTGCACAGCTCTGATGAAAAGGATCTGTTTGGATTTTTATGGATTAACTGGGGTTGGCCTGTTGATCATTATCTCACTTCTGGTTCTGCAAAATGGCTCCAGAAGTCCCTGCCATTTGAAGGGAAGTTCAGTCTCCGTGAGATGATTCTTCCTGCTTGGGCGACACTTAGTCTTACAGAGGCTTTACTGAAATCAAGTGACTATAGATTTGGGGCAATGAATGACTGTAGATGTCCGAGCCCTTACTGAACATCTATAAATGTCTTCACTTGGTGGCTTCTGTCTGGAGAGCTGAGATACACTATGGAAATTTAGGACTAATCAACATTGTGATATTATATTGATTGCTTTTAGAAACACACTCCCTGAATAATTAACATGCTTATATGCAGAGCTGAGAAGGGATTTTACCTAAAGTTTTAGATAATAGAGGAGAGATACACAAAATGGTTAAGCTTTGTTCTGCTTTTAGTTACCTACTGGGTGTCTTAATTACCTGATGCCATTTAGACAGTATTCAGGCAAAATATTTGATTTTACTAAATTGACTTGTTTTCTCTATCAGTTTTCCCATTTAATACTTAAAGATTGCTTTGCAATAAATTTTTAGTACAACAACAGTTTACAAATGTATGTGTAATTTATCATTTTACTGACAATTATTATAAATGAGTCAACAATTTAACTAATTTACCTTTCACATAAAAACATTAGCAATCAAATACTGCAACCTGACACAATCTTCTTAATCCAAACTCAGTGACATCTTGCTTTTCAGTTTTCCTAGTACTGAAGTACACAGATTAGTTGGTGAAAGAGTAGAACATAAAATAGTGTGCTGCTTATCATTCCTTCATTAGGGGACATTTGCTGAATGGTTGCTGGGAGCAGGTGTCTCTTTCTTTCTCTCTCTTTCATTCTCTCTCTCTCTCTCTCTCTCTCTCTCTCTCTCTCTCTCGTACCAGGAATTGAACTCAGGAGGGCAGGGGCAGTGCTACTGAGCTAAAATCCTAATCTAGGTGTTTCTTTTTCATACTTTCCGCACTTTCTTTACATTCTGTGTTCAGTTATCCAGGAATTGGAAATCCACAATATCTCTACAGTAGTGAATAGTCAGCTCCATGTTAAATTCTTTAAACATATCTAAACTGCTCATGCCTTGTATCTTTCTGTGTGGTATTGAATTTTTTAATATGGAAATAAATATCATTCAGAAATGAATCAGTTAATTTGGTTACAGTCAGTGAGCAAAGCTTCTGTGGGGAAATGGAGTTGATTGGTACCAAGAGTGACAATAAAGATTTAAGTAAAGAACAAAATGGGTAGATGCCATTTAAATGAAACCAAAGGGTAAAATATTGATGTGTATCTGTAGAACACCAAGAATATATCTGGAACACAGGTTACCCATATTAAGTAATATAAAATGAAGTTGAATTGAAATGAAAGCTGAGTATTAGACAAGTTGGAAAATGAGGTGGAAAACTTGAACATTCCTACTAATGAGTAAGTAATGGAGACTTCTGGAAATAATTTGAGGCTTTAAAAAGCTTGAGTTTGGAGTGTTCTGAGTCTGATGTTAGCATCAAAAAAAGATGAGTTTTGGTTATCCAAATGACAAAATGAAATGGTTTATTTGATATCTATGCCCAATATTTTATATAAATTCAGAATCCAACATAGAAGTTGTATTGTACAGTTTAGCAGTTATGATCTGTTTAAAACGTCAATTGGGTAGATCCCAGTTTAAAAAGTCTAGCACATTTGTCTTTGGTTCCATTTGTATGAGAAGAGCTAGCTAAAGCAAATGTAGATTCTAAAACTGCTCATTAGGGATTATTTCAAGTGAGATAAGCACAGTTCAATATTATAATTTTAAATCAATAATCATTGGCATCTTGCATATTCATGATATATATATACACATATATATTAATATCTAACTTAGCTGAATTTATAATCCCACAGTGAGTAAACCTGAGATTTAAATATCATTGCCTGTATATCTGGGTTACATCATGACAGCAAGAATGCCTCTAATGTGAAAAGCACTCCTGCAGACTATTAAATAAAATTATTTATACATGCTTAGCATGTAACATGCTAAGGGAATATGGATGAACATATGAATCATTGTTGTTCCACTCTTATATCATATGTTCATATTT